CCCTGTGACAGCACCAGGGGTGGAGGCGGTGCGACGGGGGTGCGCACAATGTCTCCGTTGTTGTCGACCGTGACGCCAAGGGGCAGGGATTGAACCGAGCACCGACTTGCATGCGGCTGTGTAGCGGGCTCCGGGGAGGACGCATGCAAGCGGGCCCCCCTCACTTGTTTACAACTCGCTCGCTAATAATGTGACAGCTGAAGAACCGCCGCCATCTCCATCCAGCTTCTCCGCCCCCCTCCGTGCGTGGTGCGCGCGCGGGCGTGTGAGTGAGTGTGGACGCGCTCCAGCCCCCCGCCCCCCCCCCCTTCCCCGCCCCCCTTTTGGCCCCTCTGAGCTCCCATCTAAAATGAGAAACAGCTTGTCAACTTTTCACAGGGTCTTCATTGTGACGATCAGTCGGACCATTTGGCACGCGTCAGCCTGATAATCAATAACAATTAAAATTGTGCCGGCGTTCTGTGCGCCTGAGCTTTTTGCTCATTATGATGCTGGGTGTCGGTGCTGGTGAGAGTGTGGCCCGAGGCGGAGGGTAGTTTGCAGCCAGGCAGCACTTTTGCTCCTTGCTCGTGTTGTTTTTTTTTTTTTCTCAGATTTGTTCCCACCGCTTTCAGTTTTGTTCACCTGCAGCGGTGTGCACGAGTTTCCCTTTTCTCTCTCGTGTGTGTGTGTATGTCTGGGCGCGCGCACGCGCGCGCGCGCGTGTGTGTGTGTGCGCGCGCGGTCGTGCTCGCGTTTAATCCATGTTTATCCTCACCCCACCCTCGTCGCTGCGGAGATTATCCTGCGTCACAGTGCTTTTTTTTTTTTTTCTCAGAGCTGATCGGAGCTCTGCGCTTCAGAGAGCCTGCTGGCAGCGCTCCAAGGACAAAGAGCGAGAGGGCGCGCGCAGTTAGACCTACATTCCCCGGTCTGCCGTTATTCTAACGAGCTTTAAAACAGGACACGGCAAACGCTGCTCGTTTGCTGCTTATTTTACTCCGCTTATGCATTCCACTTGGCGATCAGATCCGCCAGTATAAAGATAAATAAGGCTCTAAATTGTGGATCGCATGCATGAGCTGCATGCGCGCGCGCTGCGCAGGGGACACACAAAGGGCCTCAGCCATGCAGGAGGAGATGATAAGCGGAGCCCGGTGTTTGTTTTTTGTTTCCACACCGCGGGTCACTGAGAGTTCAAGGCGCTGTCACCAGGAGGAAGAGACAAAGAAAAATAAGCATTGTTTTTTCTTTCTTTCTTTCTTTCTTTCTTTCTTTCTTTCTTTCTTTCTTTCTTTCTTTCTTTCTTTCTTTCTTTCTTTCTTTTAATCTGTCAGTTTTGGACTTATCGTTTCTAACGAGAATCAGCGCAGAAATCCAAACCTAATTACGTCCATAAAGGCTGGTGAATGCTGCAGCCCCCCTCTGCTGTTACTTCCTTCAAACCGCCGCCTCCTCCTCCCGCTGCTGCTGCTGCTGCTGCCGGCCGTGCAGTGACGGATTGGTTGGCCCTCGGGAGTTGTTTGTTGCCCCAAACTATTCTTAGCTCGCAGGGATGGGCGTCAACGCGCTCCCTTTTCCTCCCTCTTCACCCCCCTCTCCTCCCCCCACCCCTTCATCTCAGGTCTCTCCTTCCTCCCCGTCCGCTCCCCTCGTGGCGCGGTATTATGTTCGGATTTGGACCCAGAAAAATCCTCAGCCACCAGACTCACTGGCTTCTAGCTGCAGGCCCGTTTGATATTTGACACCCTCTGCAGGCCCGCGGCTCCCTCTCTTTCGCTGCCTTCACAGGCTCCACATTATTGACGTGAATGTTTGAGGGTCAATATTTCCCTACAAAAACAGTGTTGCTCAAATTATCGACAAATAAGTTGGACATTTTAAATAAAAATAAAAAAATGGCTTACATTTCAGCTTGGTGATTAATTAAAAAAAACAACAACACTTGTTTTGCGCATGCTCTGTTAAATTTGTTATTTACTCAAAGTTTGGGTTAAACAGGACATTATTTAAGATCACTTAATTTTTCTTTGTAGTTAATCATATGAGTAAGAAATGTCGCCACGACTCCAATAAATAATAGGCTCCAATAAGAGGACTAGTTATTTTAGTTTGATGAGGGTAATAAGAGTAATCTGGCAGGTTTTTAAGTAGCTGTTATACAGTTACATTGAATTATGCGCGAGGTTTGAGCATTTTTATGATAATTTATGTCAAGAGTTCGAGAAAATACTCAATTGAAATGAATGTTTAATAGAAATTCTATGGTCCAAGTTTGTTTACAGGTAAAAATTGGAAGTAGGACCGATATGCAAAGGTTACACGGCAACGCAGTTAGTTTACAGGCTTGACACGGTAAGCGTCTGGTACGAAAGGAACAAACTGACCCAAAGCCTTCGTGCCTGTGGCTTTCCATTTCGAAACCATGTACATTTACACATTATAGAAGTTTCATCATCATTTGTCAAAGCAGGAGACGTAGAAAGTTACAGTCGGAAACAGATGAAACCAGAAAGTTTTTCCGTCCCCTTAATTCATATTTTTATTGTTCTGTGCTTTTTATTATTATTATTATTATTTTAAATCACAGTTTCGCTAAAACGACAGAAGGAACAGAATAAGTGAATGGCTTAAGGTTTAGTTTAGATTTTTTGATGATTCCTGGTGTTCTGCGCAGACTTGTCAGCGCATGAGGAGCCGTTGCCTGCCAGACTCAGACACAGAGAGAAAGTGTGTGCATGTGACGCTTCACGCACGCAGCACAGGAAACGAGAGAGAGAGAGAGAGAGAGAGAGAGAGAGAGAGAGGTGAATTCTCAACAGCGTCTGCGCTTTCGGAATGGAGCCGAAACGCACACGTGGCCCCGCGCACACGTTCATCCCGCGCCAGAAAAACTCACGCACGCCCGCACGCACAGCTCCGTTTCGGTTCCGTCAGATGCGGATGTTGTTGAAGCAGAACGGACCGACCAGAGCTGCTGGGTGAGGAGAAGGAGGGGGTGGGAATGTAGAAGCGGAGGAGGGGCTCTCTCTCTCTCTCTCTCTCTCTCTCTCTCTCTCTCTCTCGGCAGGCTGATTAATGTGCTCCGGGTCACCGCAATAAAAAAAAGTGGTGTGCCAGCGGCGCGGCGGCGAGGCGTTTCACCGCGATGATCGAGGAGCCGAGCTTCTCTGCTGCTCTCAGCTCCGGAGAGCTCCGCGGAAGGCTCACTCTTGCTATTTAAAGCAATTGCTGCCTCTCACTTTGCTCCCGTGCAGGCTCTTCCAACCGGACTGCCTTGCAGAAATACCCACATACTGAAGGTAGCGTTCAGACTTTTAGCTCAGGGCGAGCTGTACTTTCCGATCTCCTCGCTGCTGTTTTGATGAAGCCTGTAGAAATTTGGCGAACCACTGAGGGTGTGAAGATGTCACTTAAAGGCTCATAACTGTTCAGTAATCCTGCGGTTTTGTCACTTAGCAGATTTATGAGAAACTAATTGCTGTCTTTTCCACTGGTGGCTTTTTTTTCTTCTTTTTTTAAAGTTGGAAGCATGGCTCACTGCCCAGGGCGGCAACAGATTTAGCTGCTGAGATTAACCTGAACAAATTTATACTTTTTTTTTTCTTAACAGATCTAATTAAAGGTGCACAGACCAGTAGGCCAGATAAAATGGTCAAATCTTTTGAACTTATTCTTTGTTCCCATTTATTGAATCCATTGAAACTAAGGCCTCCCACAAAGTTCACTCTATTAACGCATCAGCCAACAGCAACATCTTGGAATTGCGTCATTTTAGTTAGTTTCGAAGCTACCTTCAACATATTTCCCCAATCTATTATCTCTTATAGTTCTTAAAGTGAAAATCGGATCCTTCAGGTCAGAGCCCCAAATAGCGTGGAAGTTAGTATTGGCCAGTGGAAGCTTGATTGGTGCATTGCTAAAGTGCACAGATGTTGGAGGCATAGTGAGTAAAAATGGACTGAGGTTTGAGTAGAGAACAGCCACTGATCTGTCCCAGCCCCTGATCTCCGGTTTGTTCTCCCATGAGGACGTGTCATCTTTTAATCAACGTACAAGGACATATTTTAGCAAGTGTTCGTTTATATTACCACATCAATGCGAATACAGAAGAGGAAAAGGGAATCCTTCCACTGCAGCCTCTTCGGTGTGTACAAATCTAAACTGTGAGTGAAATCACAGGTTCAGGGAGCCAGTTGTGGAACTTATTTCAGAAATATGTAGAAATATCTAATCGATTTTCTCTGGACTTATTTCAGAACATATAATAAGACTCATACACTGAAGTGTCTGACAAGAAATTCAAACTTATACAAACACTTCAGGATTCAGGGACATTTATTTGTGCCTTGATGGGTTTCTTTTTTTTTCCTTCTCTTGCAATTTTTATTTATTTATTTTTTTGAACAAAAGTCTTTTCACTTAAATCTCCACCTGTTTTCTTGCTTTGCTGTTTCAGCCTGAGTTTATTCCCCTCTATATGTGGCTTCTTTTCTCCTACACGCTCTACCTCCGTGCGTGTTCTGGTGCGAGGGTATTGTTGATCTGAGGCTCTGTGTTGGCGGGTGGTAAATGGGCTCCCGCCGAAGTGCTCTGCGATGCATAATCTTCCCTCGCTCTGCTGGCTGAGGCAGCCGAGAGAGCAGGTCAAAGAGGGCACAGAGGAACCGGTGTGTGTGAGGGGACGTGACTGAATAGACGTGGCCCCACAGGGCTCAGCTAGCAAGCCCCGCTTGGGGGCCGGTGGGAGGAGGTGGGTGGGGGGTTGGGGGCGGGGTGAGGGGGCGCTATAAGGATGAAGGGGTGTTGATGGATGAGAGGGGGCAGAGCTATTGTGGCTGTCCGCTTTGCATTTTCACCCCGTCATGTTTGACTGTTTTTGGAATGAAGCTCAAGTAACAACACACTGTCTGTTTGAGATTTTGTGAAATGTAAGTGGCGGTGTCATGGAATTGCGTTGGCAGTGTGTTCATGTGGCAGAGCCAAGGCGCTGACTGCTAACTGTTTGCTCATCTCCACAGGGCAACATCTGTTTCGTGATGTCGATGCTGAGACACAAACTAACCTGGCACTAAGACGAGGAAACGACATCGCACAAAATATGGCAAGTTCCCGTGGTTGTCATTTGTCACTTTGAGAACAAAATACGTGGTTAAGGTTGGTTGGTTAAAGTCTGAATGGACCATATGTAAAAAGAAAAAAAGAAAAAAGAAAAAACAACTGTCATATTTTAATCCTTTTTTATATTTAAAGGTACTAGCCAGACTTGCTAATTAATTCAATCAGATTTATGTTAAAAAATAGTAAGTCATTTATAATACCTGTCATAGTTAGTTCCTCTATTTGTTATAATGTAAAATCTGCCCTCATAGAAACAAGCACATGCCTTTGGTGACACCACAAAAGGCATAAAGAATCTCATCAGAGATCATTTCCGACATCCCAATTTTTCTTGTTTTTCTTCCTTATTTGTGTTTTTAATCACATTATTTCACTCTGAGGTGTTTACTGTACAGCCACAGGAAAACATTTGAGCTTTTTGGCAGAGCATTGCATTGACTTCATATGTTTCTGTCATATCATTAAATAGTATCTGTATGTGATTAAGCACAACTAAATGCATTTCTTTTCCCTTTCTTTTTTCCAGGTGGATGCAAGGTTGACGCCCCTGGCTGCGATGGGGCTTGACCGAAGCACCCTGATACACGACAGCCTCCGTCTCCATGGTGGGGTCGTATACCCAGGGATCAGAACCCTCCAAACGGAGAAGAGCAGAGAGACACCCACCCTCCCACTCGCCTACAGTAGGGATGGTCTCCCAGAGCTAATTTACAAACCCGACAGCCCTCTGGACAGTCGTAAGCCTGCAAATGGTTACCAGAGCCTCTACAAGGGCACCCACCCAAGCCTTCACAAGCCTGTGCTGGTTACTGGAGCTGAGGGCCTTGGCTTGGAACGGCGAGTAGGGCCCGGAGAAAAAGTGTCAGAGCTGGGGCTGGCTGGGGCAGGTGGCAGCTACCTCCGCATGCCTCTGCTGAGCCCATACCCGGAAGCAGGCATGTATCCCTTTATGGACACATCCAAGTATGCTGCTTTGAACATATACAAAGCCTCCCTGCTCACCCAGCCCAGCCCCTACCTTCCCCAGCACCTGCCCTACCCACCCTTGTGTGCAGCCCAGGGGGTCAATGTTACATCTGCTGCAGCTGTTTCTGCTGCTGAGAGGCTCTACTATATACCTCCCTACCCTCCATCTCCCATTTCTTCTCCTCTGGTGGCCCCTCCCATGAGGATTCCTGCGGTCACAGTGACCCCTTCGCTGGTACACTGCCAAGACAAAGGGCTCGGTGTTACATCTCCGTTTTCACAGCAGCTTCATCAACCCTCTCCTCATCCTCAGCACCATCAGGCAGCCATGGAACGAGACCGTTCTCCGAGCAGGAGCAGCAGACCAAGCAGACCTCCGTCCAGGAAGGGCACAACCAACAATAGCACCAGTAGTACCAGCACCAGTGGCACCACTGTCGGGAATAATAGTCTGCCTGCTGATTCTTCCCACATGTCCTCCCGCCTCCCCCAGCCTCCCCCTCTGCCTGCTCTCCTTGACAAAGCACTGGATTTGCAAAGACCAGTTGCCAGAATAGGACAACCATCCGTCTCTTCTGCGGCTTCAATATCTGCATCTTCTGCCTCTACGCAGTCCATTGCTCACCCTTTTTCTATTAGCAGTATGGCATCAGAGCAGGCCTCCTCTGGCAGACCCAGCCCCCATAAACCCAGGTCACGAGACGGGGCCTCTGAGAACAGAGGTGCAGGAGTGGAAAAAGTATGCAGCAGGTCCCCTTCATTAGTCAATTTTGAGAGGCCAGCTAACCAATCTCAACCAACCAAAGACTCTGCAGAGAAGCCTCTGGATTTGTCAGGAAGAATGATTGAGTATGGGCTGCCTGCCAATGGTTTCTCAGTTAAGATGGACTCTGTGTCATCTGGCACCCGTTATGGACTTCCCTCCGGTCGAGAGCTTCTAAATGAAAATGTATCCCTCTCCCCTTCCTCCCATCCTCATTCTGTGGTCTGCAGCACTTCTTCAAAGGTCTCAGAGAGACCAGAAATGATCAGCACTTTACACTCATCATGGGTTGTACCAAGCCCATCTCCCTCACATGCACAGCACACGTCAGGTTTGCCACCCTCTCCGAGGTCAAATGCAGACCTGGGCCTTTCACAAGCCAAAGGCACCTCGCCCTCTGTCATCAAGAACAAGGGCCTAGAGAGGGTTCTCCCTCAGCAGCGAAGCTCGTCCTGTCCAAGGATTGGAGAGCCCAACCTCAGTGTTCCCTCCTCTCAACATTCTGGCTGCTCTTTGGTCAGCTCCAGGGCTCTTTCCCCGAAACCTAACGGTGAATGGGTGAAGCACAGCCCCAGCCAGTCAGCGCATCACAGAGAGGGAACAGAGAAGTCCGCCCAGACGAATAAGAGAAGTGAACCAACTCCAGACCTGTCATCATACAAGAGGCCATGTTTGGAGAATGGTCACCCTCCTCCCCACCTTTTTCTTTCTCAAAGTGAAGCTTATTTGAACCACAGCTTGGCTTATGCTAACAGATATCTGCAGTACCCCATCCCTGATGGCTTGGCGCTACACTCCGTCCCAATTTCAGGGAAAGGCCCAGTGTACCCTAACCCCGTTCTGCTTGGCAACAACGGCCTTTACTCAGCCCACTTGGCTGGAAAACACCCTTTAACCTACCCAAATCTCCCAGCTGGTCCGGGCACAGAATACCTCACTTATAACTCACAGGAGATGGCCCATCCGCTGATGCAGACACTCTCTGACAGCAAGCTGACAGACAGGGCAGATGCAACACTAAAACCCCGGGGACAGGACAGACCACGGGGAACTGTTGAAGAAGGCGGGAGCCACAGAGATCACAGTGCTGGGAAAGAGACAGGCGAAGGCAACCAAATGAAGCATGATAGGGAGGTAGGCGTGCAAGGACAGGGTGGCAGTCAAAGCAAAAACCTCCACTCATCTGCGGCGTCCAGAGAAAAGATTGTCTGCATTGACCTTGTACACTCAGACACAGATATCGAGTCTACCCCAACAGTCTACAAACAGCCTTCTGCTGAGACTAGCAACAAGGGGAACCAAAATGAATGTCATAGCAGTCAAAACCTGACAAACACTGACGGTGAGACTAAACACCAAGCACATCTAAGCCACTCTGGACAGACCCCCAACCTGAAGGTGAACAATACTGATGGGCAACAAGAAACTTTATTTGGGAAAGGAAAGATTCCCCAGGAAACACCCTGCCTTGTCGAGGTATCAAGGACATCCCAGACTAGACCAGAGCTCTCCGACGCAGAAGAGAGCACAGAGGAAAGTAGCCCCAGCCCAGACCCTGGGGATCAAGATCAGAGCACTTTACGCTGTGCCCGCACCTCGGGGGAGCGTAGCTCTGGTAAGGACAAAAGAGATGGGGGCAGCTGCGTTCCTCTTGCACAGCACAATACAAATGCAGTAAAGGAGTGCGAGAGGGAGGCTGAAAAAGAGGACAATATTGTTGATCTTGGGGAGTCCCAAGCAGAGGGAGATGATGAAGAGGAGGAGGACGAAGGTACCCAGGCTTCATCTAAAAACTCTCGTAGGTCCAGCTTGGCCAAACGGATCGCAAACTCCTCTGGCTACGTTGGCGACCGCTTTAAATGCGTCACCACAGAGCTGTATGCTGACTCTAGCAAACTGAGCCGCGAGCAGAGAGCATTGCAGGTAAGTCCACAAGTTTATCTTTACACCACAGATTGTATTGGGTTGTTGTCATGTCATGACCAGACATTTCAGACTTAAATGTGTAACCACAGAGAATAAACATCCACGGGCCACTGCCTTTACTCCCTTTGCCTGTTGAGCAAACCTTGCATGAACTTTGCAAACTTTGCATTTATGCCCCTGTAGAGAATAAATAGTCATGCTACTGTCTTGGCCATTGGTTTGATCTTCCCTTTAGTTTATCATTGGCTTGATTTCAGGCACTCTTTCAGGGATTGTCGGTTCAAAGTTTAAACAGGACCGCCATTTTTGTATGTTGATTACCGAGCAGCCATCGTAAAGGTTACTCTGTGTGTGTTTGTGACTCCGTACGTGCCTCTCCTTGTGTGACTGCCTTCAGGCTAAAGCATGTAGTGCTGACTGTGCTCTAGACAGTGGATTCAGAGCATGACCGTGACAACCTCAAAGATCACATCGCCTTTGGCTGTGCTTAACCCCAAGTTTAGGAGACATAGGGTCTTTGCAGGATGCTTAACAACCAAAAGCTGCCATTTTTGAGGCTCGTTTAAAGCCGTGGTTCTCAAACTGTAGCCTAAGTGGAAATCACAGTGCTGTATTTGATGGTTCTCAGATAAAAAATATATATATATTAGTATTCATTTAATAGTAAATAGTAAGTTTAGTAAATATGAACTTCTTATACAGTTTCGTTTACCTCTGAAGTCAGAACCTGGAACCTTTGATGATTTACTAATTGATTTGCCAGTGATCAGGATAACTGATATTAGTAGTACAGGGGCAGCGATTTTCCTCTTTCAATATTGTAGCAATATGCTCACAAAAACCCCCAAAAAGAAACAGTACAGATCATGAGAAAGAGTTGATGAGCTACAAATACTCAAAAGTACAAATAAACAAAGGTCTGTATGCCGGACGGCCTTATTAAAATGAGCAGTTTGGGTAGGTGAGAAACTTGACTTTCACCATGTCTAGGGACTTTTCTATGTATTTGTCTAATTACAAATTGGGATGTTAGAACTTCTGAGCAAAAATGAAATGTCGATTGAAATGCAGTTTAAAAATGCCCATCGGTATCGTGATAATTGGGAAAACTTCATATTTACTGAAGTGGTACTTAAAATAAAAAGCTTGAGAACCACTGCTCTAAAGCTGTCTGCATGCCCCCTGTCTGCCAATCACAGCCCTCCCCCCTAATCCCACCTTCTCATTGGCCTGAGCTGCCCTGCCTGGTCTCTCCAAGGTCATAATCCTCCTCACCCCACTGGTTGACATGCCTAGTCTCCTAACACGCATCATATGACCTCTATAAACGTAAAATTGCAACTACTCTCATCCGCTATCATCTAGGCGCACAGATTAAGTTTCATGTTTCAAGCAGTTGTCTCTGGGGTTTCATGTGCTCAGAAACACAAAGAGATTTTTTTTTTTTGTTATTATCCACTGGCTCTGAGGCAGATATCGCAATAGGTTGCTCATGTCTGTCTATGTCGCGAATGCATTCGAGAAAACGTGGTTTTGTCTGTGTCATGCTTTTTAATTCACAACTGCAACAAAGCTATCAGACTTTGCATTTCTGGGAATGTGAAAACAAAGTGAGGGCAAAACTGATTTTTGTGTTCTCAATTGTGGCAATATTCTATTTAGAGATGCACCAATCAATTGGTCACTTTGATGCGCTTTTTCAGGCTTAGCACAAATCAAATTGATGGCACTAATTTGCCATCAGAGCATCCCAAATTCTTAAACTTTTTTATGATTTTTTAACGACTACAACTATAAACTGATCTGCATCTTCCTGGGTTTTACATCAATTTTCGGTTTAACGTGTTGAGGAAGGTGCTCTGGTCAGATGACGGCCAAAATTCGATTAGAGCAAACTAACCCTGAACTCGTCATCCCTGTGGTGAAATATGATGGCAGCAGCATCATGGTGTAGGAGGCTGTTTCTGACTGGCACTGGAAAACTGGTTAGAGTTAATGGGAGGATGGATGGAACTAATTACTGGACGAAAATCTGTTTGAGGTTAATCTTCCAGTGAAACAATGACCCTGAACGTACGGCCAGAACTATGAGATATCGGAGCATGTTTGTGTGTTTGCAATGGTCCAGACCTAAATCAAATTAGAGAACTTAATAATGTGACACAATGGGGTAGCACTCCTTTTGCGAGGCACTTTAAATTTGCACTTGAATCTAAGACCGGTACCTTGACAAAGGGGTTGCAGTGTTCTTCTTCAGCAGGTCAGACCTTCAGGAAACCTGAAAATCGGTACGGGCTTAGAAAAGTCCGATTGGTGCATCTCTATTTTTTTTTCTCTCTCTCTCTCTAATTTGTTACCAGTTTGCTTCAGAAATGACCTGATGGCTTTGATGCACATTTGATTGACCTGTTGAGTCACTTTACTTTGTGTCATTATGTGGGACTGTGGCTGCTTATTTATGTGTGAAGAATTATGTGGAGAAACAAATTCATTTAAGAATAAAATTAAAAAAAAGATGAAATGCTGGACAGATATATTGAGCCCCCCATTCTAATTGCTTAGATGGAAGTCTTATCACGAGAGGAGAGTAATATAAGCCAACCTGCAGCTAACTGGGAGGTCAGTTCTTTACATTTCTTATCACATCTGTCTCTGACAGGCTCTGTCTCCTTTTGTACTCTGTACCGCTGCACACTCCTTCTTTTTGCCTCCTTTCTTTCCTCTCTCTTCCCCCCACCCCCCTCTCATCTCCTCTCTCTGCCTCAGGGCTTAGATGTATATGTTTCCAAGCCATGTTTATGTTTCAGGAAAGGGAGATGCCAGGACTTTAAGGCCCAGAGCGCATGGACTCACAGTGGCTGCAGTAGTCTAACCTGTGTCTTGATGCCATGCTTGTGATTTATCTGTCTTCCCCCCTTTTTTGTCTTTGTGTGTGTTTGTGTGCGTACGTGGGTTTAATTTATTTCTTTGGCATTTTCTTTCATATTAAGACAAAGTAATTGCTGACGCAATATTTGCTTCTATAGCTGTTGAGGCCAGATTGAGGCTTAGAGAGGTGTGTGTGTTTGTGACGTGGGCAGATGAGTGGTTTTCATGGGTTTTCTCTGCTTCTTTTCCTCCTTTTTTTTCCTTTTTTGTTTTGTTGTATGTTTGTGTGCTCACAGCGGGCAATGATGCGGTTCTCTGAGCTGGAGCTGAAGGAGAAGGAGGGCGGCGGCGGCGGCGGTTTGTGCGTTTCTGCCTCGGTAGCGGCAGCAGGACGGGAGCTGGCAGACGGCCAGCGCAGAGAGAGAGCGCTGGAGCACTGCCAGCACACCACCAGGCAGCCAGAGAGGGAGGGTGAGTAATGCACACACACACACACACACACACACATACATGCACACATACGCACACTCACATGTATTTGTAAGAGGACAAGACACACTCATAAAGGGACTCATGCAAACAATAGGTACGCGTGCACACTTGCAGCAAAAGCTGAGGCAAAACTGGGGTCACTCTTAAAAAAAAGAAAAAGAAAAGATATTCTCTCCTGCAAAAACACGCCGCAACTCTCGCATAAACCGGGCGTGCGGAAGGGAAATGGCGAGGGGGGAGTTTTTATTTTCAAGAAGCCTTTTGTGCTTATCTGCGCAGAGAGAGAGAGAGAGGAGGGCAAGAGAGGAGGAGGGGCAGAGATTGCGTGAGTGAAAGCGGGGGGAGTTAGCGGGTGAAAGCGGATGGGAGAGCGCAACGGAAAGAGGAGGCGAGGGGGGAGGGAGCTGGCGGGGGTGGAGAGGTGAGGGAGGGTAGTTACGTTGGCCAGGAGCCCAGCTGTGTGTTGGAGCAAGGCCGCGGCTGACGTGTGAGCCTAATTATGGCACGGAGAGGGAGACGGAGAGAGGGAGTCGAGGAGAAATGGAGGTGGGGTGGAGTGGGGTGGGGGGATAGAGTCACGCTCTGTGTGAGAAGGGCGTGGCTCGGTCATGCCGTGGGGGAAGACAGAGAGAGAGAGAGAGAGAGAGAGAGAGAGAAGGGATGTCTTTTCCTCTGTGCTGGAAGTGCAAGGAACCATCAGGCCCTGCTGGCTCTGCTCCGCTCCGCTCGCATCAGATTAAAAAGTCTTTACCCCATCAAAGTTTTACTGCCTGTCTTTAAAGCAGAATAAAAGCTGGCTGGTGTTTAACCGCCACTCTCCCGCTCGTCGATCCCTCACATCTTCCCGCCCCACCCGTCGGTTTCCCCTGCCCGCTCTCGGTCTGTCTGGTTTGTGGTCTGTCTGCATTCCTGGGGTCCCCTTTCATCTTTTCTTTCTTTCTTTTCCCCCCCCCCCCATCTGACCCCATTCTTCCGTCCCGCTATGGCTCTGTTCAGGTGTCCGTCCGCTGTACGCCAACAACAGGGTTCCGGTTCTCCAGAGGTGCGTGGCGCCGAGGGACCTCGTGTCCCCGGGTCACCTGGCTCAAGACGGAGCCAGGAAAGCGGCGACGAGAGAGTCTGAGGAGGGACTGTGCATGCCTCCCACTCTGACGCCATCAAAGGAGTTCCTGGAGGAAAAGGTCGGCCTGGGCTTCGGAGCTGCCAGAAAACGCCCGCTCATCAAGGAAGAGCAGGACGACTCGGAGGACGGGGAGCGGGAGAAGAGAGCCAAGCTTTCTACGGGTGAGAACTTCACAAACGTGCCGTTTCGCTCACACTTCCACCTCCCACCTCTTTTTATCTCCTTTTGCTGCAACTTTGATACTCCAGGGTTTATTCCTGTTCGTTTGAAAAAAAAAAAAAAAAACTCATAATTTTTTTTTCTATAAATCAACCCTGCCTTGAAGCTACCAGGCAGACTTTTCTGTAAATTCAATCAAAGTCACATTAGATGCAGTCTGTCACCCACTTGTCATAGTCAGTTTTTTCTGTTTGTTTTCATTATGATATGGCTCTCTGCCCAGGGTGGCACAGTCTCCGGGGCTCTTCAGTGAAATAAAGAAATGTGTCAGACTCACAAGTTCAATTAAAGAAGTCACAAGAGGAGCACAGAGTAACGATAAGCATGTGGAGAATCCTTTGTCAATACCCTTAAGAAACAAAATCAGCGGTGGTTTCTGAAATGGGCGATATGGCTCATTGCCCAGGGCAGCATGACTTTAGGGGCGACCGAGCGCTCAAAAGCAATTTAATTAATATTTTTTTTTTAAAGTTGTCAGTTAGGTTCCCAATGCTTACTTGCATGTTCTCTCTATAAAAAGCGACCCTGCACCCTCTACTTGTGTATGCACTTTGTTAGCATTGTGTTAAGTTCCTGTCTGGTTTGCATCTTCTAATTCTGTGTTTCAGTAAACAGCTGTCTAAGTTTTTATTTTTATTTTTCCAAATCTGCCAGACGAGCCTATGTGTATAATTAATCAAAGTCTTGTTGTCTGTCAAATATTGAACAATCGCGCTTGGCCTGCTTACTTTTTGTCTTGCCAAATTTTTGCAAACAAAACATTTAAAGCGAATGTGACCATCCCCCCGACCCGGTTACACACGTTCC